TACAATATCTATATTCGTAATAAACATAAAAAGCATGGTAACATTGATTGTGACCCATACAATCACATTTTTAACATCCTAAATTAAATTTTAAGCATTTTTTAATTCTATCAGAGTAATAACTAGCTTCAAAGCATTTATCTACAAAACTACCATCAATGCTTACTAATTTACTTCCCTCACAATCGAAAAATAAAGCTAAATTATTAGGATCACATTATCTAAAGTTAATCTAAATCCATTAGTAGTATTACTCACATTGGTAACACATATATTAGAATTATTTTATTAAAGACTTATTTATGAAAGTTTCTCATATTTTTAAGTTTCTTAATTTTTGAAAAATCTCAAGGGATATTAATTTAAACACTACTTATTAACTTATTATTAAAAAAGTCTTATTTGTATCTAACGCATAAATTTTAATTATTTAATTAACAAATATCGCAATTTCCTTCATAAAATTTTGCCCAAAGATATTCACAAATAATCAAAGCTAAATTAGGAAAATATATTTATTTCTAACTACATTTATAAACACACTAGCTTTTTGCAATAATGTCATAAAATAATATTTAGTAAACTTATTTGCTGATAGTCTTTACATCTAGAAAAATTGCTATCATACGGTACTTTACTTATATATATTTTAAATCATTTTTAAGTTACATTACTTCAACTGTAGAACAACTATAATATTTTCTAGTAACTTCAGTATCAGGATCTATCTAAAAATACACAGCACTTCCTGAAAGACCGAGTACATGAAAAATTTCATGAACCGTAGTTTTCAAATCATCATTAAAATTTTTTGATCAGTTAAGTTAAAATTAACTCTTCCAAAAATAGTTGTAGTGTCTCCTACTTAAGCAAGAGTACAATGACACTGCAATCGCTAAAATATTTTTTTATTACAAATTTTAATTGTAATTAGGAATTCCTATTATTTAATAATTTTAAGGAATATATAAATCAATGCATTTTCTCTAATATACCAAAATGTCTTTAGAAAAAAATCTTGGATGTTTCCATAATATTTATTATGTATTTTTTTATTATTTGGTTACATCTTCTTAATCAAACATGGAATAATTTTTAGTTGTTTTTTTAGGCTTAGGCGCGGAACCTGTTTAAAGAATACGTTAGTCATGGTTTGATTTTTCTATTTTTTGATACGTTTTCTCAAAATGATCTTGCATTTTTTTTCACATTTAAGGAAGTATATGGGTAAAATTACAAGATAGATATTCATTAAATATGGTTTTTTAAATATTAATTTTTTATTATTTTTAAATATATAATTAATTTATTTTATTGTTTTTATGTTTATATATTTTTATTATTTTTTCGCTTTATTATGCTTTTTTAGCAAACATATGTTATGATTATAATATAATTATATTTTTAAATAATTAAATCATGTGTTAAATGTAGAACTAAATTTAAAAATTGTAATAAATGCACTGAAACTAATTATAGTAGACGTTATTCTGGGTTTTAATACGATTAAATTTAAAAATAATGCATAGATGTCCCAATTACAGATGATAATGCAGGAATATTATGCCCTTAGAAATGTAAAAATCTCTGTTAATCTGGTAAATGCTTAGAATGTTAAGACGGTTTTTATGATTATTCCGAAGATAATCCAAATATTAAAGCTATATAATGTCTTAGTTCTAGCATTAAATTCAGTAATTTTAGTGCTTGTATTTCAGCACATTTTTATTAATGTTTATCTGGGTATTAGTATTTTAATTATGAAGATAAACGCGTTAAAGATTTTAAAAAAGATAGTACTAATAATTGCAATGAATGATGTTCGGATTGTGATCAAAATGGAATGTGTATAACATGTTTACTCGGTTATTTTTAAGATTATGTTTACATAAATAGTTTTAGATATAAAAAAATTGGAGGCTTTTATTACTGGTTTAAGGAGTAATTGATTTAATTATTTGTTATTTTATTTGGATTATTATTGTGATGACTATATTAAGTAAAAAAAAATTAATTTTTATAAATTTATTTAGTTTAGCTTCTTAATATATATTTTATATATATTTATTACAAAAATATAATAAATTTTTATATTTATATTTTTATTTTATTTTTTGTTTATTAATTTTTTTTTTTAAGAAATTAATTATTATAATTTATGTTTATAAAAATGATAATTGAGCTATATTTTTTTTATTTTATATTTAATATATAAAGAAAATATTAATATTAATAATTTTTTAATTTTATATTTAGACATAAATATATATTAAAATTATAAATATTTAATACTAAAAGAAAAGAAAAAAAAAATTATATTATTAATATTAAAAACAAAAATATAAAATTTATAAATAATATGAAACAAAATAAAAAAGAATTTTAAATACAAAAAAAATTTAATTATAGAATCATAATATTTAGTAAAATTTTCTATGTATTTAATTAAAAGGTATTATGAAAATTATAAATTAAAGTATATATAATTTTCTTTTTTTATATAAATATAAATATAAATATATATATAAATATATATATATATATATATATATATATATATTAAATATAATATAATTAATTATTTCTAAATAACAATAAAATAAAAATATTGAAATTAGAAGAAAATAAAAAAATGATATGAAAATAATAATTTAAAAAATATTTTTATTTTCAAATATATTTTATATATTTCATTATTTTAAATATGTTTAAATTTAATTAATTTCTAAAAAAATTATATAAAAGAAATATAATAATAATTTAAATACTTTATAAAGTTAATACTAAAAGGGAAACTCAATTATATAAAAAATTATATTTAAAAATATTTTTTTTTCTTTTCATGAAAGAACAAATATAAAAAAAAATTATAAAAAAAAAATTATTAAATCAAATATTTAATTATCGAATTTTTATTTGATATAAATCAATATATTTTATAATCAAAATTTAACACAAATCTTAATTTATTATAAAAAAAATTCAAAATAAAAAAAATAAAATCTTTTTTCTAAAATATATCTTATTTTTATTTTTGATAAAAACTATATAAAAATTAAAATAATATTTTTATTTAATAATAAATAATTTATATTTTTTTATTAATATTTAATTTATTTCTAAAATTTAAATAATATAAAAAAAAAATTATATTTATAATATATATATATTATATTATTTATTTTATAAATTATTATAAATATAATCATATATATTATAAATAATATATTATAAAATATTTTTTCTTTATATATAAATAAAATTATTTATATGGATATAAATTATATTTAATTAACAAATTAAATTATTAATAAATAAATTAATAATAATTATTTATATTTAATTGACAAAAATATTAACATATAAATTTTTCATTAATTTTTTTAATTAAAATAGTATTAAAATCAATAATTTTAAATTATAATAATTTATTAAAATTTATGTTAAAAATAATTAAAAAATAAAAATTATATAGAAAATATAAAAATATTAGAAAAATTAAAAATAATTAAATATTTTGTTATTATGTATATAAAAACATACTTATAATAAATAAAGTTATTGCAATAAAAAATTCCAAGATAACAATAGGAAAAAATATACAAAAATTACAAAAATAAAAAAAATCAAACTATGACTGTCGTATTCTTTAAAGAAGTAAAAACCTTAAAACTAAAAGAATAACTATAGTTTGTAAAAAACTAAAAAAGGTAAGTTATATATATATATATATATATATATATATATATATATATATATATATATTATATAAAATATAATATACAATAATTAATATATATTATTTATGTTTTTATTTATTATTAAATATTCTTATATTTTATCTATTAAATTAATAATTTTTTCTTATATAATTTATTTTATATTATTTTTTATAATTATTTAGAAATTAAAATATATATATATAATTATAATATTTTATTATTTTTTATAATATATATTTTATTTTTATTTTATTTTATTCATCATATTTTTTTAGTTTATATTAACATTATATTTTATATAATCAATTTAAAATTTATAAATACTAAAAATTTAATTAGAAAATAATAATATAAATTCTATTATCTGCAAAACAAATCAAAAATTATTTTATTAAATTTAAATTTTCAATTTTCAATAATATAAAAATATTTAAAATATAAAATATTTTTTTAAAAATATTTATAAAATATAATACTATATAATCATATATAAAATAGATAATATAAATATATTATTTAAATTGATTAAGAATACATAAACTTATTATAAATTATACAAATATTTAAATTTATAATAAATGGATTGAATATTTTTAATAATAATATAAAACATTTTTTTTTTTTTAGATTAATAATATTAATTTCATAAATTTTTTAAGTTAAATTTATTTAAAAAATCAAATAAAAACCATTTAAAACAAAATCTTAATATTAGAAATTTAAAAGTGAATAAATATTTGGAGTCTAATTTAATTAATAAGAAAATAATAATTTAAATAAATGTAGATTTATTATTAGATAAATAAATATATTTTAAAAATCTAATATTTTAAATGAATAAATGTATTTTATTAAAAAAATAAATTTTAATAATAAACATTCATAATTTAAAAAATAAAATTTTTGATATATTATTTTGATAAAATATATTTATATAAAATAAAAATTATAGTTAATATTAAATTTTGTTTATAAGAAATTTATTTAAAAAAAATAAAAAATTCTAGTTCTCTATTAATATTTTTATTATAAAATATATAATTCAAAATAGAATAATTATCTCTAATATTATTCTATTATTAAATCAATATTATAAAAAATTAAAAATCTTTATTTATGTTAAATAAATATAAAAACGAAATATAAAAGCAATGAATTATTTTTTTTAAAAAAATTTAAAAATATTCAATTTTTATAATTAAATATATATATATATATATATATATATATATATATATATATATAAATAAACTTTTCGCTTGCTTTTTTTCCAAATTATCAAAATAATAATCCAAATAAAACATAACCAATAGTAAAAATAACGAGTCCTTAATAACTATTCGTTATTTAATTATCGCCTTAAGCCTAAAGTAAAAATCTAGAAGACAAGCATTCTCCAGATTAAGAACATTTTTTGCATCCATCAGGGCATTTTATTTCAGATTCTCCTGAAGATTTTGCTTTACATTCTCTAGTTTAATTATCAACATAATAACCATCATCATCACAAGCGAAACATATCGATAAATTATTAGGATCACATTAGGAGCAAGGTGACTAACACAAAGTGCATTTATTATCTAAAGTTAATCTAAATCCATTAGTAGTATCGCATTGAGAACATGTGTTAGAATTATTTTATTAAAGACATCCTTATGAAAGCTTCTCGCAATTCTAAGTTTCTTAGTTTTCAAAAAATCCATTAGGACATTCACTTAAACACTAATTATTATTGTCATTAAAATAAAAGCCTTCTTTGCATGTAACGCATAAATTTTAATTACTTTTTAAACAAATTTTGCAATTTCCTTTACAAATATTTGATAAAAGATATTCGCAAACACCAGAATCAAAATTAGGAGAAAACCCTCGTTTTTCATCGCATTCATTTACACACTAGTTTTCTTGCAATAATTTCATAAACTAGCATTTAGTACACTATTTAGCTGATGGTCCTTTACATCTAGAACAATTGTTATCACATGGTTCACATTTTCCAGCCCTTCCAAATGAACCAAAAGGACAATCTGATTTACAAGTATTATCTGGGTTCTAAAATTTGCCTTACGGACATGGACCTTCTACACAAGTTTCATTATCGACTACTCCGGAACATTCTATAGAACAATCAACTCCTCCAAAACCGTCTTAGCAGATGCATAGACCGTTTACACAAACTCCTTTTTCGGAACAAAAATTTGGACACATAGGGGTATAATTACAAAATCTTTCATAATCTTAAGGACATGTGATTTAACCTTAAGCATTTTGTCCGGTTGGATCAATTTCCTTTTATATACTTTATTAACCTTTTCCACATAAAACTTAAAAATTAATCTCTGGGAAAATAACAGTTATTTCTGTAGCATCAGATGAACATTTGAATTAATGACATCTATAAGTATCTTTATACTACTTTGTAGATAAGGACTTTGTGGCTGTAGATTAAAAGCATTTACTTTGAGTTGAATAATTAGATAATTTATCCGATTCTTGCTCTTGTACTAATTAATCGAAATCACTAACACTATTCGGATTTGTGCAAAATCTATCTTTATAAAGGCTTAATCCAATATTACATTTGTTTAATTCTTAAAATATAGGAATACCAATTCTTTCATAATCAAAAGAACATTACTCTTTATCAATTAATTAAATATATTCATTGTATTAATGTATACTTTAGCAAGTATTTTCTAAAAAATCGCAACCTTTTCCTTTACCCCAGAATATTTTCTCAACCATAGTCTCATTAACTACAGCATAAAAACCTGTGTCTTTCAAAGCAGCAATTGTAAATATAGAAAATACATTGTCAGTATATACTAAATTTTTATTCATAATTTCATTATATAGAATACTTAAATCCCAACGAAAGTCAAAATGTTTTTGAAATGTATATATATATATATATATATATATATATATATATATATATATATATTTATATTAATTTATATATATACATAGATATTTTTATATTTTTTACTTCTAATTAAATTTTCATTCCTTCAGCTGTAGGACAATTATAATATTTTCTAGTAACTTCTTATATATTTTTAGAAGTTATATATTCTATTGTTTTGCCTTCGATTATTTTTCTCTTTAAAATTTTAGAAAAGTCATTTTTATAATATTTTCTACCAGTATCAGGATTTATCCAATTATACATACCAAGTTTTGAGACTCCCAGTATATTCAATATTTCACGAAAAGTTTCTTTTAAATTTTTTTAGAAATTTTTTGATTCTCCACTTATATTTGATAAATTATAACTAATATATCCGAAAATAGGTCTTTGGATTCCTTCTTAAGCAAAAGCACAAAAATTAGCAAACGCAGTTTATTAATCATTTTCTAAATATTAATAAATGACGTAGATATGTAAATCAGAATTAGGAATTCCGATTGAATAATCCCAAGGTTAAACTTTATGATCATCACATTCTGCCCTATTTTTCAAAGGTAAAACATTATTTTGTTTTAATGGGTATACTTTCAATAGTTTTTAGAAATAAAGTTTGGATAATTCTATAAGCTTTATCAAGTATTTTCTTTATTATAGGGTTACATCTTAATTACTCAACATAGAGTAATCAGTAGTTATTCTTATAGGTTTAGGCTAGGTATCTGTTTAAAGAATACGTTATTCATAGTTTGATTTTACCTTTTTGTTCTAAATTTCGTAAATTTTATCATATTAATCTTAAAATTCTTTACTATCATGACTATATTTACTGTGAGAATGGATAAATTTACCTAATATTAGGATAATAATTAAAATCAATTTTTTATACATTTTATTTTTATATTATATATTTTTATTAATACTTATGATTTAATTTGTATTTATATTATAAAAAATTTCTATAATTTGATTAAACACATGTAAAAATTTAAAAAAAATATTTATTTTTATTGGGGAATTTTTTTATTTTAATTAAATATAATTATTTTTATAATAAATTATAGATTTATAATTAATACAAATTAATATAAATGAATTATTTATAAATAATAATAAATATGTTTTAATTATTATATAAATATATATATTATATTAACAATAATTTATTTAAATTCATAATTACCTTATTTAAAGAAAAAATATATAATATTATTTTTATATATATAATTGCATTTTATATTAAAATATTTATAAATTAATTATAAATTATTTAATTTCTAATAGATTTTGTGATTATAAATATATAGAAATTAATTATTTATTAAAAATATAAATATTATATTATAAAATAAATAACATTTAAATTTTATTTATTCTATATATTTTTTTATATTTATATAGATTAATTTTTATTCTATTTTTTTTTATTTGCATTTTT